AAAAAAAGTCTTGTCGAATCACCACTCTATTAATTAGTCTCATGCACCACTAAATGGCAGCTGCTGGGTTATTCCATAGAAGGTGAGTTGAATTGAGGAACATTCTTTTTGTTTCAATCCCCGAAATTAGCTGAGTTAGATTAATTGAGGATATAAGAAAACTTACCCCAGGTGGCCATTGTGGACGGTTCGCGGTAGCTGAATGAGCTGGCCTAGAACTGTAGAAGAGTGGGAAGGTAAACATGCCCTGTCGAGTGACACACAGTGTAACGTCGCGCTTTTCTCTCAGCAGATGCTCCACCCTTTGGATTACGCTGTCTGCACAACTTAAGAGGATAGGTCAACTTCGTTATCACGTCTCTGAACAGAAACGCCATCCCGCGTCGATCATAATATCGTCGAACATACAATCCTCACATTCCTCAACGTTCATGCTTTGCTAGTCAAACTTGGCGATACAAAGATGAACCTGCAGAAGAAATCACAGCTGATGGCACTAAAGCGCTTCTTACGAGCATGGACACTGGTTGACGGCTTTTGTTCGGAATAATCGCAAAATCCGGCTATCGCGGAGCTTCTGTTTGTTTTTAATATGAAGAGGGGCTTTCGTAGTCTGCTCCAGCAGAGACCCCTCATAAGATGCTAGGTCGACTAATAGCTTGGAAGGCATCTAATGAGTTGCTTAAGAATGGCAACAACGGCATCAAAGATGAAGCAGTTCTGCCTCTTCCAATCTTCATACATTCGTCAATTTCTGAAGATTTTTGAAGGCTGACATTTGGATAGGTTTTTTCACATCTCATATCTTTATATCACGTTCTCCTTTTACTATGAAGGCTCTTTTCGAAGTAAAAGGAGAACGTCGTGGTTCCTTAGCCCGATATCATTAGTTGAGAAGCTGCCAAGGTTTCTTCATGAAAAAGAAGCCTGTAACAGATACGCAGGCTCACGCCTTCTTAATCCGCTTTCCAGCCCTTGTAAGCTGTTATCAATTAATGTTACCAATCATTTTTAATCACCCCACACCCCATATGACATACTCGATTACCGAGTTTAGCTGCCAGTACTGAGGCAGGATGGCATGGGCTGCTCCTGCATTTTAACCACTGGTATTACCTCTTATACTGCCCAGCGACTCAGTCATCCGGGATGCGATTCAAGGATGCCTCCAAAATCGAGCCTTCTTGGGCCTCAACAGACTGCCTGAAAGGAGAAGGACTAGTATGGCGAACTGCACTTACAGTGCACGAACGCTTGCATCGGATGCGTGCATCGAAGATCTGATGATGAAAGCAAGGAAGATCAAGTCACCGGATTGACCGAGACGAGAAGGCAGCACACCATTTTCGAGAGCGGAGAAGAACTGTGGAACATACGGCAGTAGAGGTGTCTGTGGTGTAGGTGCAAAAGAGGAACTGGAAGCACTTTATATGGACTGGAAACACTCCTCATAGACGAACACATTTTTTGAGTTCACAGTTGGTGGCTCCAACGCTAAAAAGGCCCAAGAAGTACGGCGGCTTTGAAGAAACATATCGAGGCTCATGGAGCAGAGTGGAATGAACAAGGTGAACGGCTGCCCGAGTTTATCATGTCGACACACATTATCTATGTTCCAGAAGCCTTGCCAGAAGCCCACTCATTTGAGATTAATGTGGGAGACACCTGTTGGACAGTTTTGCAACGGATTAGGCCACACCATCTTCAATCGGAGGTTTTCCCGGACTGACGTCATTGTTGTTCCGAAGTTGCGAACGGAAGCGGACCATCTTCTACTCCGCACTAGATCCTGTTCTTCAGGGCATGGAAAGAGCTGTGAAGTTCAGGAAACGAAGCCCTGAAACCATTGTCGACTGGGCCCTCTTCGTTTCCTTTATGAGTCACAGGAAGACGCCGTCATCGAAAGCATCGATGAAGTGTACAACCGATCCTCGAACGCGATATTGCTAGAAAAGCAGAGTCTACAAGTTGTCTGGAGATGTCTCTCTTCAAAGACTCTTAAGCTGATACGCCAACATAAAATCGTGGCTGCTGCAGGATTAGTCGTCAACGGATGTAGTGCAGTGGGATCGAAATTGTCGCATCGCGGTGAGAGGGACCGCGCACGGAAGAAAATAGCAGAATGCTGCAGCAGTTAAGAAATGGAGGAACAGAAGAATTAGTTCACGGCCATACCACGTTGAAAGCACGCCATCCCCTCCGCTCTGGCAAATCAAGCAACAATTGGCCTGGTTAGTACTTGGATCGGAGACGGCTTGGGAATCCCAGGTGTCGTGAATTTGATTCGCACCTGTACATTGTTGGCGCGCGGCGGCTGTCAACCCTCCTTGTCTGTATCAACCCCCCCCC